TCATCATCATCATCATCATCATCATCATAATCATCATCACCATCATCATCATCATCACCACCACCACCACCACCAACATTATCATTATCACCACCACCACAACCACCACCACTAACATCACTAACATCATCGTCATTATCATTATTATCATCATCACCACCACCACCAACATCATCATCACCATCATCGTCATCAACATCATCATCATCACCACCACCGCCATCAACATCCTCATCCTCACCATCATCAACGGCATCAACATAATAATAATCATCATCATTATCATCAACACCATCAAAATCATCATCCTAATCATCATCATCCCAGTGAAAAGGTAGGCTCTGCAATCTTGATGTCGGGAGCAACTGCTCTGCCTAGGTTATTTCGTGGTTAAGCCAAATTTACATGTAGCAAGCGAAAGTTAGCTTATCCTGTCTATCCACACGAGGTGGGACTTTGTATGATTCTGTGAGAATATTTGTTATATCGAGAATCTGTAGCCAATAGCAGCGCCGCACCGCGATTTACACGTACCATTCTGGAGGCTGGTTAAGGGAAAAAACCTTTTCCAGACGAGATCGTGAGACAAATGGGCAAGTATATGCGATAGATTTCCAAAATGCCTCCAAGGAGTCAAGGAATGGTAGTCGAAATTGCACACCATCTCATAAATAGAGTGTACGTTTCCATTCAATTTCCCATAACTTCGCTTCCCAAACGGTATTCTCACACCGACTCGAGTCGACTCGCATCAGCTGATCTCATTAACATCCCAGCGGGACTCGAACCCTATTTTTGTCTCTGCAACTCACAGTCTCGGCACGTTGACAACTACGACGCACATTGCCACGAGTGCCGTTGACTCACAGGACAAATGTAACGTTCAAGGAAAGCCATACCGAAGATGATACACTGCCCGATGACAACTCAGGTTCGAGTCCCGCCAGGGATGCTGTCGAGACCTGTTGAGGCGAGGTAGATACTGCAATCCGCTCGAATCAGGTCAGAATGCGTGAAATTCAGGCGAAACGGAAGGTCTGTTTATGCCGTTACGGGAAAATTCAGCTACCAGTCCCTTATCACGTCTCGTCGAGATGATTTACCGGGGCCTCGAAAGCCCACTTCAAAGTGAAAAATGGCTATTCAGGCTGTATTCCACACCATTTTGCTCAGCGCAAGGTTTATCTCGCAAATTAAAAGCGTAATTAGGTTGTTTTGGTGCACTTTTTGACATGAAATTTGCGGCACCACCATCCGTTTTGTTGCCAACGCCACGTTTAGACTGACGCAGTTCACGAGACCTTCTCATTTGGTTCGTGTGGAAACGGGCCGAACTTTGGTCTTTCTCATTCTTGCGGAAGGTTAAAGCGTTAATACCAACACAATAAGACCGACTGACGCCTTGCTCGGTTGTAATCCTCCACATTGCTTGCTTTATGTCTTCGCACACCATCACACACACACACACACATACACACATACTTAAATATATACGTTTTGTTTGTCTATCAATATCTCAACGTACACTTGAAGGTGTGCCTTATTTGGGAGCATGTTCACATGTCGGTTAGTCTTCTTGGCATGAAGTAGGCTTGAAACTTTGCAAACATGAAATCCAGCGCTGGGCATGCCTGGCAACGGAGGTACAGACCAAAGCTCTCGCAAAGAGCGTAAGCTAGCAACAAACAACTGAAGGACAACAAGACTCAGCGTCGTCGTATGGGGACGTCGAGCTGAACCAGTCGCTTAGTCACGCCCGCAGACTTTGAGATGAAAAAACTAAAAGTCGCCCTAACAAAGCCCCACTTCACTTCTGACCCACATTTTCTGTAGAACACAAAGCAGAGTGTGCGAAACTGAAAGAGGGCCAGTTCTGTCCAGAGTCCAACTTCCTCATCATGCTCCTGTTGGCCATCTACTTGATGGGGGCTGGAACCCTGCTTATCAATCTGCTGATTGCCATGTTTAGGTAGGACTTTATCTTGCTCTTTTTCTTTCTTCTTGT